AAAAAAAAAAGTGAATGAAATGCTAACCCGAGTATTTTCTCAAATAGCAAAGGCCGCATGGTTGGATAACTCCTATTATCCAACGTTTACTAACCATGATGTGATTGGATAATAAGCTACTGTGTCATGTGGGTCGCACACTTTTATGCACGATTGGCAGGATTATTTTGTCAATCCCAGCTTAGAAATGACCATTTTGTCCAAAAATTGGCATGTGAAATGTCCCTTTACCCTTCGAAGTCCACCAAATTACAGATTTAAGCCATATAAATATATTTTGCTGCCACCTCATATTTTGCCTATTATCCTTAGTAAACGCTTGAATTTTTTTGCCTTAAAATGTATCATGTTTTGTAAACATTTGACAAGCTAACATGTAAAGTTGATGGGATTAAACTGTCCAATTCCATCATTTTAAGTAAACGAGGAACAATATCCACTATATGACCCTACACCATCCAAAACATGATGACCACATACCTATTTTTTTCTCTTAAGAAAAAAAAACTATAAATCATGCACAAACCTTTATGTCCCCTGGAGCGGAACTTCTTGGTGTGGCGCCTGATGAGCCTCTTGGCCTTGGTTATGGTGAGCTGCCTCGCAAACGGCGAGAACTCAGCATCGCTCTCGCTCCAGTCTCCGCCGTGCAGCTCGTTTTCGACCTCTCCCCTCATTGTGCGCAGGACAAAGGCCTTTGCCTTGCGCCGCTGGGAGTTGAAGAGTCCCCTTATGGACGTCACAAAGCCATCCCCAGCTCCATCGGCAGGGCGCTTTGGCCACGCAATTGGGATCTGCTGATCGCCCCGCTCAGCCGAGCCCCCATCACTGTCGCTCAGATTGAGGTCGCTCTCAGGGACGGCCACTGTGGCAGAGTGTGATTTATCCTTGAATTTCTTTCCCTGTGGAGAGCAAGAGAGACATCTATGTGTATTTCCAAGAGTGATATATCTATATGAGTGTGAGAGTATTGATGTTTCCGAGAGAGTTTCTATCGCTAAAGTGGTCAGGATGTGTAAGTACAGAAGTATGTGCAAAGGCCGTTCAACGAGACGCAAGTCGTTAAGCCTTCTGTATAAGCGTGTGTGTGTGTGTGTCTGAGAGAGAGAACTATTGCGAAAAGCTGTTGCGATATGAGGGTGCAACAGTATGTGCAAGATATGCCTACTAGACACGAGATCCGTGTGTGAGCGTGTGTGTTTGTGTGTGTGTGTGTGTGTGTGTGTGTGTGTGTGTNGAGAGAGAGAGAGAGAGAGAGAGAGAGAGAGAGAGAGAGAGAGACAGAGCTACTGCGAAAAGCTGTTGGGATATGAAGGTGCAACAGTATGTGCAAGATCTGTCTATGAGACACGAGATCTGTGTGTGAGTGTGTGCGAATGCGTGTGTGTGTGTGTGTGTGTGTGTGTGTGTGTGTG